ATGATGAGTGGTGTATGATGAGTGGTGTATGATGAGTGGTGTATGATGAGTGGTGTATGATGAGTAGTGTATGATGAGTGGTGTATGATGAGTGGTGTATGATGAGTGGTGTGTGACGAGTGGTGTATGATGAGTGGTGTATGATGAGTGGTGTATGATGAGTGGTGGTTGAACAGCTGTTGAATGTCCGTAACACGGAAGTTTTGCACACTAAACTTCCTTTGAATATGATATATATGGGCCTACCTTTGTGGATTTTATTCGAGGTGTCCGAACGTCCACCAATGCAATCAACAAGAAATCGAGAAATTTAAATAATTTCAAGTTGGAAAATATAGTTTAAATATATATATATATTGTTATAGTATTTAATATATTATATATTTTTTTACTCTATTTTTTATGTAGTTATTAATTTAAATAAATGAAAATTGATACGTAAACATTTGATTTTAGGTTTATTTTTAATTTGTTTCTTAGTAAATTTTGGATATTTTGAGTGTTTGGCCGTATAATTTCACATTTATTTCCTATTTGTTTCCGAATAAATTTTGGATGTGTTGAATGCTCTGGCTATACGATTTTATATTTATTTCTTAATAAGTTTTAGATGTTCTGAGTGTTTTGGCCGTATGATTTTATATTTATTTTCCATTTGTTTCTTAATAGTTTTTTGATGTTTTGAATATGTTGGTCGTATGATTTTTTATTTATTTTCGAATAAGTTCCGGATGTTTTGAGTCTTTTGGTCGTATTGTGTCTTATTCGTTTCCTAGTAAGTTTTGGATGCTCTGAGTGCGCTGGCCGTATGATTTTGCATTTATATTTTATTTGTTTCTTACTTGTTTCCTAGTAAGCTTTGGATGTTTTTAGTGTTTTGGTCGCATGATTTTACGCTTGTTTTTTACTAAGCTCTGGATGTTCTTAGTGCTTTGGCTAATTATGATAAAATGGGAATTGACATGAATGTTGGGGTTGTATTGACTTCTGCGACCCGGTGTATGGGCCTTTGAATTTTTGCACATAGAAAGAGCTCTTTATTATAACAGATGCTTTTTGTATAATCGGAGCCTATTCTTTATGCACCACAAGCGGACGTAAACAACCTAGGCGACTAGTGACTTTCAAAGAATTTTTGAATATTTTTATATCTTTGAAAAGTCAGTGGATATGAATATTTGCATACACACGCAGTAGTTGAAATCTGGAGCTAAATGAGGCTGGATTTGAAATTTTTTAATTAGCTCTAGATTTGGTGGTAGCTTGCTTGGACGACCCGAAGATGAAGCCACCTAAGCCCTTTATAGTCTTGATGGATTTTCCTTATTTCGTAGAGATCCTCGTAGATCCTCGTTTCGTTTTGAGTCACCACAAGTTTCTTTCAAGTTGCTTTGTATCGAAATACATTATTTTCATATATTTTCACTACAAGTGTTGCATTGCTCGATTTGCTGTTTAGGTTGGCAGCTACTTTCGTTCGGATGATCGGATGATTAACGAAGCAATCACACACTCTTACGTCAAGTGTTGCGACCTATGGCAAACACAGGTCAATGCAGTACATGGCTAAGCCAAAGAAGGCAACTGCGTAGGAAGGAAAAAGCCAAGCGCAGTGTCCGTGCTCTGAGGAAATCTTCATTTTGATTGGGTCTGCGCATTCGTGTTTACAAGGGGGGCAACATATATCATAACCTGGATCCATAAATTTCATGTTTTAGCCCTTGTACGGCGCCCCATTGTAAAGTCAATGAAAAACAGAACTTTAATGTTTTCCCTTTGAATCTTGTATGTGCGTCTACATGGTGGACTATAGTTTTCTTCCTCTAGGAAATACTGCTGGCCATATTATTCGGAGATCTCATTTTTGAACATTGCTCTGTTTGGGGTCTACGCTGGTATAATTCGAAAAATAGGTTTTGCTCTGGTAATACGAAACGCATATCCTTGAGGCTAAAAGAGGGATTAAGCTCTTGGAATATGGTATTAAGAATATTATGGAGAAATTGACGGAGTTCTTTACTCCCCACCTGGAAGTGTTACTTCCCCGGACATTCGAGATCGCGGTGTACGGCCTCCTAAAATAGCCGAAGGAGACTTTTGCCGAATACGTTAAGCGTACGGAGAGGTGCTTCAACAACTTGACCAAGGAGGGTGTGGATCTCCCAGGTGACGTTCGTGGATACATTATGTACCTTGGTCAAGGGTGTGCATCTCCCAGGTGACGTTCGTGGATACATAGGCGGTTTTGACAGAAGCGCAAGACCATAAGTTCTTGACGTGGTCTCAGGGCAAGTATGGACGTGCTGAAATTATTAGTGCACACTCCGCAGGTTGGACAAAGTGATCCGGGACGGTATGTTCAAGAGCAGCTTTTAGACGGAAGAGACCTATTTGTTTGACGAATCCTATCGCGATGGCTATGAGGCGTCTGAGATCTACTGCCCGATTCCCGACGACGAGGATGGCAACTTCGTGTACGTCGCGGAGGGCGATTTGGACAACGTCCTTGAAGAGGCAGAGGTGCAAGAGGCTTTGGCATCCTACCAAGAGGTGCAATATCAGCTCAAAGACCAACGACTTGGTCGTGGATACTTCCTTGGAAAGGGAAACCTCCTTCCAATGCAAAGGGGAAAGACAAAGGCAAACGCCGAGTGTACATCGAGCAGCTCAAACTTCGAACCCGATGTCGCCGTTGTCAGCAAGTGGGGCACTGGGAGAGGAAGTGTTAGGCCAAGCCCAAGGAGGACAACCGTACTTTTTTCATTCGGCTCGATGAGGAGGGCCCTGAGACTGTTGAGTTTTTGGATCCGGCACATCCCGGAGCAGCGGACCCAAGGAGGATCTGATGCTGTTTTTGAAGCTGATCGCTCTGGCGTTGGGGCATATACAGAGCGGTAGCGTGGAGAACCTGCATTTTGCGGGATTACAACCATGTCACACCATGGCGTAGTGGACACGGCAGCAGAAGGTGGTTTGGTAGGATCGGGTCCCCTTAAGGCCATCGAGCATGAGTTGTTACGACATTCATTGCAGGTCAAATGGATCCCAAAGAGGTCACAAGGCAAGGGCGTCGGTGGCAGTGCACAAGTCGAGGGCACGGTGTTGATTCCGATCGGAATCGCGGGGGTGAACGGAGTGTTAGAGTGCACAGCGGTTTATGGAGATGTTCCCCTTCTATTACCCGTTCGTATGTTTCGCGTTTTCGACTCGTTGATCGATTTGAAACGCGGCACCATGATACTGCAAACCCATGGCCGAGTTGTGGATCTTCATGAATTACCTAGGGGACACATTACCATAGGCATTTTTAGCTTCGCCTCCCGAGAGTTTATTGTTCCTGAAGAAGTCGGCACGTCTGAAGAGTTTGAGCTTGCCACACTTTTATGCTTTGCAACAGTTATACCGGCTCAATCGTGTGAGGCGAAATTCGACTTCAAGTCCGATACCTGTCTACCAACCACCCATGTCGATTGGTGGGCGTTTAACCTACGCAGGATGCAATTCCAATGGAAATTCATCCAAAGGTGCGCAATCCAAATGTGCCTTTGAGAAATTGGCGCGTGGTCCTGGACAAGATCGCCGTGATCCTGGTGCTCGTCGCAGTTCAGGACGCTACGGAGACATGGTGCTTGGAGTGGGGCTTACCGCGCTCGGCCTTGTCCTCTGCGGATATTATGGAGGATTACTACGCCGAGGCGATCCAGCGGGCCCGTTAACTACCTCCATTGAAGACCAAGGCTGCCCCCGCTATGGCAGTGAGTGCATGTCTGCATTCCAAGAGCCAGCTTCGTGGGGGAGGATATGGATCAGCCTCCTACATAGTGTGCCGCCAGTGCCATTCTAGGTGGGTCCACGACCAAAGGGCCGTAGATGTGTGTAAGATGTTGAAGCAAGGCCCCTTGAGCCTGAAACCTGGAATTATCACGTCGATACCAACGCCGCCGTCGACTCCTCCAAGGGAATCTTTAACTACGATGGCAACGCAGTCTCCGGTTCAAGGACCACCGGACCTCATGGAGGCATTCCAGATTGCAATGCGCGGTCCTCCAACAGGCCTAACAGCCGAACAGATGACTATGATGCAAGGGACGCTCCGGCAGCAGATAGAAGAGCAGGCCGCGTTCTTTATGCACCAACTTCGGAACGAACAAGTTGCTT